GCACAGTGCCCGGCCAGGCGCAGAGGGCGAGCACGCCTCTGCAGGCTGCAGCTGCTCTTGAACAATGGAAGAGGCGAACCCTGAGAGCCGGGGAACCTCTTCGTGTCCTTACCAAAGGGAACTCAGCTGTGCTAGCTCCCTTGCCGGGAAGTATGGGACATTTGCACTCAGCCAGAAGGTTTTCATCTCTGCTGATGGGCCATAATGGACTCTACTGGGCTGACACAGACAGCTCTAAAGGTGTCAAAGGCTTCCCAAGTGTGCTGTGAGCCACAGCCTTCATCCACAATCATCATCCAGTGTGAAACTCCCCACCCCAAGAAAGGTACCTGGGCGTTCCCATTCTCACCTGAACCAGAGTTGATGAAAACCCAACACATGTAGTGTTTCAGGGTGTGACTTCTCCCACCACCTGATGGTCTGCAACCACCACTCTGACCACCAGACATTATAACTCTAACTACCAATGGTGTAAGGACGCCTTTTGATGGTGAGAATTTTCTACACTTGCGACTACCAGACATTATAACTCTAACTACCAACTGGCATAAGGATGCCTTTTGATGGTGAGAATTTTCTACACTTGTCCCTTCCTTATATATTTTAAAGTGTATATTGTCATATTAATAGAGATAATAATAACCTAAATGGCTACATACCTGCTTTCCATTGCAGGAAACTGCAATGGAAATAAACCAAACTGCTCTGCAATAAACCCTACATATATATAGAAACACCAGCCATTCAGGGGCTTTCACTCCAAGCTGCCCCAAGGCATCCATTAACGAGAATCTGTGTTACCCTAGGCTTTCTGGGGGTGGGTTGCAGCACTCTCAATTCTAACCTTTTGCTACATAAAACGTTACACAATCTCTCACCTGTCTTTTCTTTCCTCCAAAAGTCTTTTTTCTTCTAAAATATCCCAGGGATTTTTTTTACTTCCCCTTAGGTGACCCAAAGATAACGATAAACTAAGACAAGGAAATTGGCCAACAAAATTTCCTTTAGAAGTTTATCCACTGTCACCATCACAACAATCTGGGGGCAAGAACACCACCTGTTAATGTTTTTAAAGGCCCAAACATTTGGTGTTGTCAGTATCAGTCTTCTTTAAGAACTACATCACTTGTGACTGCAAAAATCATTGCTAAGAACCCTGTAGCTCTAAGTCTTACTTCATGGAACTCAGGGCATAAACTTCTAAACCAAAATTTAACCAAAATATTAAGTATATCACAGGAGTCAGACCCACACATGAAAATATAAATGTTAGACTCAAAACTTGGAAACATGGTGTGGTATTATTTACTACTATGAATTTTTTCGAGCACCCGTTTTCCCTTTTATTTTCTTCAGTTTGTTACAATTCAGAAATCTGAGGGAGTATGTCAAACTTATGAAACTGTTCTATATGCCCAAGGAGAAAGATTCTAAGTAAAATTTTTGCCCTTCCTGCCCTTAATCAAATGAAACGTGCCTTAAGAAATATAACTGAAATCTAGAAAATATGATACACAAGGGCTACCAGAAACCAGCATGTAAGTTTAACAGTCTTTCCAGTTTCTGCTTAACTGGAGTTGGAATTTTGCTCTCAGTCCACCTCACTACAACTCCTATACAGCACAGAAAAGACCAAAATCCCAAAAGCAGTTTTTATGTAACACCAATTACTACGTTTTTCTCTTGTGTGTCTGAAAATTCACTATCTGGTAGGAACACTTATATTTCACCACTATTGCAGTTTTCATTTATGAGACTTCAAATATTCAGGTCTTATTTTTCTTTGGCAATTTTTTAGTAATGTGTTTAGAAACCTAAACAAACCTGTAACAGATGATAAAGCTGATCAAAATGACCAAGGCCACAAGGTGCAACATGCTGAACTGTGGCTCCTCTGCTTGTGGTATCCTGTAGCCGTACAGAGAACTTCCCATATTCTTACAGCAAGGTCCAGAAAGCTTCCCATGAGAGCTGCACATGTAAATAAAGAGGCTTTGTGGATTCTGTTGACAGAAGTGAACAGTTGAGCCCCAGACCACAAGAGAAACTACCTACTTTCAGCATTTTGTATAAACCCATGCTAAGTGTGTCTCAGGAAAATTTCCCAAAGATTACATAAAAAAAGGGGAAGAAACCAAAAAATGTAAGTATCTGAAAAGTTTAAAAAGTTAGGGTCTGAAAACTTACCAACTTACTTAGTTATCCCATATCTACTCTGCTGTGTGAGCAAAGTCACACAGGGTGATCAGATATCCCAGAGTGACCAGGACAGGCACAAAATGGAAACTTTTTTTCCAGATCTCCAAGAATTTTACCAGACCATCATTTTGTTGCAAGTTTTACAACTGAAATGTAAGAACTTCCCTCTCTCACTTCCTCAGAAACTGCAATCCTGGAAAAGGCTGGCAAATAGCCACAAGAGTCTCATATAAAACCTGGAATGTTACTTGCATCCAATTTTTCTTTCCAAAAGTGGTTTATTTTCACCCTACCATGCAATCCTATCCAGGCATCATAACATGAGGACAAGCCAAACTGTGCTCTTAAGATTCAGTTAGACAAAGTAGTCATAGTTTCAAGTTCCTGTACATTCAACCATCCAAAATTAGAGTGGATACATAAACTATCATTACAAGAGTTCTGGAAAGCAGTGAGTACCAGAAATAAGTCTGCAGTTGTCTTATTGTTTTATACTTTTCATTCATTTCCATTTTCCATGGAACTCTTGGGTTCCATGATTCCCACAAGTCACAGAGCTAACATTAAATATTTCAACACTGGAAATTGTTTATGGTTTCTTAACTCGAAACATTGTGCAACTATGCAAGCAAGTAGCCATAGAAACTGTGGTAGAGAAAAAACCCCAAGTTTCAGCTAGGAAACTGCAGTGTATTTTTAATTCCTGCAAGTGTTATTCTATTATATTCTACATGTGAAAAAAATATTAAACATTTACAGTAACTAACATACATTTCCATTATGTAGTAAAGGACACTTACTACTCTGTTGTATTAAGTATTTCATTTCCTTCTTTGTTTTCTCCTCTCTCCCTTTATCATACTACCAGTTTCTTCTGTTAGCTTATGAACACCTGTATAAAAAATTTAGAAGAATTCACTCTGTCTAGTTATTTTTATGCTAGTGGATTCTGAGAGCCAGTTATATTTACTGTCCTGTTAAAAACCAGCTTTTATGGCATGCTGTCCTTAAACTAGCCATAGAGTATTAATATTTCCTTATTCTAGGAACTTTGCTAGGAAGGCATTAAATAAAAAGTCCATGAACACATGTGATGATAGAAAGTACAGCCTGCGTTACTATAGAACACAGCTAAAGCAGTCCATGAAACTGGATGGAATCACAGTTTGGAACTGAAATTACTTTAGGTACCCACATCCCATGGGCATCCCCATGTCCATCTTTTGTCAATACTGTATGTCTAAATGAAGAAGGCAACACTTGTCTTCTCTTACAAAACAATGATTATAAGTATCTTTCTGTGAAAATCTTTTACATCCCAAAAATGTCTGAGAGCAGAGTAATGTACTCTTATTTTTAAGACAAAGAACCCAACCCAAAAAACTGTTCCCAAAGATTTGACAAAGTATTATGAAGCTACACAGGCTTTGGGGGCTTCGTATTTTGTTTTGGGAGACTTTTTGGCTGAACTATTAATCTAATAGTGCACAAAAGTCTCCAGTATTTCTGTAACACTGAGTAAATTTTAATTCAACCAAATAACATACCAACCAAATCCAGAAATGTATAGATCACATCTCCAGTCCTGTAAGTATAAGACATCCACGCACTGAAAAAACAGCCTAGATAAATGTAGAAACACTTCTGTTGACTCTGGCATAGGAAATGCATCCTTTTGATTTGGAAAACAAAGGCCAAGACCACAAGGTCCCTTGGGAAGCATCCGGTTGGAGATGCACTGGGATACAAGCAAAGCTGTGCAGTTACCAGCACATGTGACTGCCAAAACAGCAGGAATACTGCTCTGGACTAGTGAGAGGTGTCCACTTCTCTGCAGCTCACAGCACTTAATTTAGAAATGTCTGCTTTGGCAATTTCATTTATCAAATGTATTTTTATACTTATTTAGTATTATATTAAAAAGTATATTGTTTTAATGCATGTTGAATCTGTGAAGTACTTTAACCCATAACAACATGGATTTAACATTTTTATCAAGTGAAGAAACAAAGTACTGCAAATAAAAAGAAATTTGGACACAAGCCCAACATGCCAATTTATTTTTTATTTTCTTTCTATTAGCAGGCTTTAGCTTGAACAATTCTTCCTCAAAACCATGCAGATTTCACTGGACAGTACGAGTATTTGCTATAACATCATTCAGGTACATTACTTAGATGATAAAATCTTCAAACACTGTACTTCAGAAATAAAGAAGCTGGAGAACAGCTTTGACAAGATTCCAAAAGGTATGCATTAGTTTTAAAATGGCAAACGCTGCTTATTTTTCTTTCCATGACCAAATGATAAACACTGTACCAAGGAAAAACCACACACAGCCACAAATGCTTCATAAATTCAAACATCATATTCATCCTTTATCCTTACAGTATTTTAATCTGGTGGTTGCATCTACGGAGACCATCTATTCAGTGACTGCAAAACTGTGTACCTATAATAAATAATGGTTCCACTAAGTCAGTGATAAGGTATTACCTTATAAATAACTGCCAGTTCCAGTGACACATCAAGACAACATTCCTTACAAACCTTACCACCACTCTACCCAAAGTTCACAAATTCAACAGTAACTACTGAACATATAGAGAGTAAAAGCATACATATAGCCAAATAAGTACCTTAACACTCAAATTTCAACATATGTAATTTATGTTGCACACATTAATTCATAAATTAATGCAAAGTTTGGTAAGGTTGTGCTAGTTGATGTTTTTGCATCTTGAACATCAATTGCAAGGATGGACACCATTAACTTTACTTTCAAATATGGAGAATTCGATGTTTTGGCATCTTGAACATCAAATGGCAAGGATGGACACCATTAACTTTACTTTCAAATATGGAGAATTAACGGAATGTTTAGATGGGATAAGTAATACATATCCCAAGGGCAAAGCAAAGTCACATTGTACTTTTCATAATTAAAACATACTTCTGTAAAATCGGCCCCTGACCAAACCTTTGCACAATGTTTTAACAAATAACTGATCTTCCATGCTGACAGCTACTGCTTTTACATGTGGGGAAGGTCTGAAGTAGTTTGCTTCTGATAAAAATTACTCCTCCTTTCAGAAAAAAATGACTGAAAATAATCTAGGCCTTCTTTTACAATATTGAAAGCTTGAACTACAGAGATTAATTAATGTAACCACAGACTGACAAAGAATTCCAAGCAACAATTCATGAGCATACTCTTTTCAACCTGGCTGCTTTTCACAGGATACTCTCTCTCTCTTCTCCGAAACCAGCCCCCTCTGAGGCTGCAACAGTGTGGAGCTCTGATGAATCTTTTGAAAGCCTGGTATAACTTGAACGTTGGCTTCGCTTGTGAGCAACCGTCTTCAGGTTCTCATTCTGAACTGCAGTTGGATTGGAACCTGAGCCAGGGTGCAGGGTAATTTGAGATGGATCTCTGATACCTTGTATTTCTTCAAAATTTTGATTAGCTCGATTGCTTGGAGCACTGTTGTTATTTAAGGTGACCGTACTAGGGGTTCTGTTTAAATTGTAGACTTTCTGGCAGGCTGGCCAGCTCTCTTCAGGGCTACTGGCTATCAGGCTGCTTTCAGAAGGGCTTTTCTTATCTTCTGAGCAAATAGACATGCGAACCACAGCTGGATCTTGAAGGCCACTAAGGCTGTGTGGAATTCCTCTTTTTGCACTGTGACTGTCATCTTCAAGCTCAATGAGATTTGCCTTTTCAAGCTGTGAATCATCTGCTCCTTCATTGTGGAGGGAATGATTTGGAGAACTTTCGTTGGATCTTACACCAGAGTCAGATGAATCTTTCTTATCCAGAAGGGCATCTGTCAAATACTCCTTTGCTTTGATGAAGGTTCTAATAGGTTCAGAACCATGTTCTGGAGATTTGGGCTGTTTCTCTATTTTGATATCTGTTTTCTTATCTTTACCTTCCTTAAGAAGTGGAGTATTATCTGATTCTTCGGTTCCTGACTCATCTTCATCGCTGGGAAGTTTCTGATACCGGAGAGTAACTCCCTTAAGTTTTAAATCTGCAGCCTGGAAAATACTTGTTCTTTCCAAAGATTTCTTTCCTGGCAGAAGCTTAGAACCAGACTGATCAGATTTTTCATCTTCTTCAGTTATAGGATCCAAAGGAGATGCATCATTAGTAGAAACACCTGAAGTACTGTAATCAACATCATTCCTCTTCAGCAAAAAGGACTTTCTTCCATCATCTTGTTTCTGTTCACCATCTTTTCCTTTTTCCTGCTCTGCATTGGAGTGCAGGGAGCCCCCCGACGTGCTCTGGCCCATATAGAAAGCACTTGAGCTATGAGGGGAGGACCTCCCACTTACTGTGGTAGAATTGGCACCTCCTTCTAACTGTGACATTTGAGCAATATATTCTCTATATGCGTCTCTGTACTCTGCCTGCACCTTGTCTGTAAGCTTTGATATTTCAATACTAGAATCTTGAGAGTTAAGACTTGAAAGACTTGGAGTTCTACGAGTTTGTGACTGGGAAAAAAAAAAAAAGAAGAGAAAAAGGTAACAGTTAAATGAACTATTTATTTTTATTTTTATCAATCTTCTTACCTGAAATAATGCAGAGCATTAAATATGTACTTAAATTATTCTTTTCATTGCTGCAAATAAGATTATGCAAGTGAAACTGTAAATACTATAATTAAATATGCTTACTATAAACATATATATGGAATCACACACACAAACTAAACTGAGAAAATATTCTTATTCTTGTTCCCATAACCAAAAATTTCTACAAAACAAGCATTTTATCCAGTGCATTTGAGTCTCTTCTGAGCATATAATTATAAAGACTGTATTTCTGTGTCAAGATGGGCTTTTCCAATACATTTCATACATTTACAAAATTTGCATTTTATATTAGAAAGACAGCAATAATTCATCTAAATGTTGAACAAATCTCAAAAATATCTTTAAAAGACCTCTACCATAAGTACTTCAATATTTCCTGGCAAAATTCCATTGCACGTATCTGTTTTCAAAAAATCAATTTTCTGACATACATAACCCTCTTTGCCCCCATGTCTGCTTTTCGAATTTATTTCTCACTACCCTACTCTGACATCACTGGTAACAAATTAAACTAATTTCCCCAAGTGCAGTCTGTTTTGCCTATGATGGTCCCTGGAGAGGGATCTCTCCCTACCCTTATCTTGTTCCACAAGCCTTCCATTATATTTCCTCTCCCCTGCCCAGCTGAGGAGGACAGTGATAAAGAAACTTTAGTGGGCACCTGGCATCCAGCCAGGGCCAACTCACTACAACAGAGAAGCTGAAATACAAGTCAGTATTGACTTAAAAATTCTAACAGGTGAATTCTAATGTTTTCTGAAGGACAAACCACCTTTCTCATTCCTTTGATTCAACTTTAGATAACTATATAGGCATCAGAAGCACTGTTTATTCAAACACATCAAATGTGCCTAATGCCACTTTAGTCTAGAAAAAACATACATTGATACTCCATGGAAATGGGCAGTTAGGGTAATTAGTATCCTAATTGTGTGTGCATGCATGCACACACTCTGAAGTATCTGGAATAGAAATCCATCTCTAGGATATATATCCCAAACCCACTTTCACAATGTTGATTATTGAAAGTATCACCTATAGTTAGGAATTTGGGGTGTCTTTGTATTTTGTTCCATCTTCAAGGTTTGATAATTTACTTTTAGAGATGAAAAGGGCTCCTTTGAAAATCCCCACTGGATTTGTTGTTTCTTTTTTTTTTTTAAATTCTAGCCACTACTTAGCCACCAATTGATTAGTTTTATTTCTTAAGGACAGACAAATGAAAACCCAACACTTCACATGGTCTCAAGATGCAGAAGAAAACTGACCACCATGGCTGCAGAAGGATGTCAGTTCTGCAATCTATGAACAGGTTATACATTGTAAGGACAAGGTTCTGATATCATGGAGCACTGTCTATTTTCAAAAACCTAACAAATACATTTGTTGAAAGGGCTAACGTCTGGTTAGCACATAGCTAAAATATTTCATACACAAAGCCTGAATAACACAAAAATACTGAAGCCTTGGAAGACACCACCCTAGGCTAGATGAGAAAAGCATGATAGCTTTAGGTTTTTTGTCATGAAGAGTGATTACTGGAACAGATGAGTAGTTTTCAGATGGCAAAAATTAAAGACATCAACTCAGAGTATGGTTAGAGTTTACATCTCTGCAGTACTAGGCTTTACTACCTAGACTGAGAACTGAAAGCATCTGAACTATCCTAGAGTCTTATTTCTTGACTTGTCTAGAACAAGCCTGGAAAAAAACCCTCTTTTCCACACATGTAAGCAAGCAGAATACATTTCTCTATTAAATACCTGCCAACTTAAGTTACTGTGGCGTGGAGGAGCTTCATCAAGACCAATTGTGTTGAGTTCTTCAAAGCTGAAGTTCAGTGTGTAGGGAGCTTGACCAGCCAGACCTGTCAGCTCAGTGTGAGGCAGCTCGGTGCCGTGGCCGGGACGGCGAGCAAGGTCACTGTGAGGAATGGCAGCTGGCCCGTGCTCCGCTGCCCCGCGAGCATCCTCCTGAACAGCCTGATTTTCTGCATTTCTCATTTCAAGTATCTTCACGTGCAAAGAAAGACAGTTTAAATGTAGTTACATAAATAGAAGAAGTTCTCAAAATTGATAAACAAGAGTTCCATTAAAAATAGGAATGAGGAATTCACAGCTGTAAAAGTGTACCTGTATATGCAGTTTTGACCATGAGAAAGTACAAAGAAAAATCACTTGATAATTCTTTTGTATTTCAAATTGTTATAATTACTGCTCAAACCCTTGAAAGAACCCACACGCCATGAAGATACTTAAATTCTTGTAAAACTAGTAAGTTTGTAAAATTACAAATTTTAAAGCAAAACCAAACACTTTGTATCTAACAATAAGTCTCATCATGTAATTCTTGGTGTTTTTAAGACTGACTTACAGTTGAGAGACACACTGTTATTTCAAGAAAGAAAACTGGCAATAATCTAAAAATACTTAAGAGAAAACTCAGTTCTCTGTCATGCAAAACCCTCACTGTAACAGCCTGACTGCCCAATTCCTTGCACTTATTATTACACATACTTGGAATTCCCTGACTAACTTCAACAGTAGGACAGAGATTTAAAAAATAGTTAGGCTTTGATAATTTCATTAAAATAAGCAAATTTCAAAAAGGGAACCCATACAGGAAAAAACTAGATCCCACAAAATAAGGAGGTAAAACTTCAGAGTTCACAATCAATTGAGATGCAAATTCATAGGCCAACAGTTACTCATTAGGTCTTAAGACAAAGTAAAGAAACAGCAGAAGCATTCATGCTTTAAGACAATACTTACAAACTTAAAGACGATGACAACAAGGATGCAATCAGAAAGAAAAAAAAGACTCATACTGAAAAAGACTAATTTATGATGACCTGAACAGAAAGTCTTACCATGCTCCTGAACAGGTGCCAGTCACCAAAATTCATATTCATTTCTTTTTTCAGTTCATCAATGTTGCACTGAGCCAAGACACGGCCATTTATATTTGCCTAAAAAAATAAATAATGTAAATTATGGATACAAGAATAATGGCACTGCAGTAACAGACTAAAAAGGTAGATGTAAGGCTGGATGCAGACTACCAGTGAAATTTCCCAAAGTAAATATTAAGTCTAATTCTATATAAAACCATATGTTTTTATAGAAGTATAATTAGTGATAATTGCTGATGGACAAGAAACACCCATGTGTCATGGAAAAAAAAATGGAAATATTAAACCTATTAAAAATGTGTATAAAAAAGGCAGTATGATAGTGTCCTATATACAGACATAAGGAAATAATATGTAAGTGGTGGAAAAATTCAGGGACAATAAGCCACACTGATCTGCTTACATTTCTCCAGCTTAGGACAGAAATGGACTGCAGACACCCAAGCATTTGAAGATAATCAGACAATGAAGTCCCAGGCAGCATCTGACCCCTGGCTTGAGGCATCTAAGATCAAGTACTACCTCCATTAAGTTCCCTCTCTGCATGAAACAGGCTTACATTCCTCCCATCATCAGAAATTCCCAGGGATAGAAGATTAGACATCTTTCTAATGTTCATCATCAATCAGAGATCAACAAGGAAGTGCTTAAACAAGATCTATAGTCTAGAAAGGTGATTCCTCACATTCGACATGTTTACATAGTGCTGAACTTCCAGGAGCACCAAATTCAACACAGAACCATCTTCATTACATAACAACGAGAGGTATTTCTCTTCATACCACGGATCAGTGTATGGACAGAATGTAAAAGAGGAACCATGTCTTAGGAGAGCAGCCAGAAAATGGAAGACCCAAGTTAAGAGCTCTGCTTATACTGAGGGATCTCAATGGTTTTGTACCCATATCCCAGCAAATGGTCTTAGTCAAACCAGGAAATCTGAGCCATTTTCTTCCTTCTTTTTTCATGATATCCCTTGTAAGAAATGCAAGACTATAAATAAGAGGCATCTCATTAGAGGTAACTGATGAGCAAATCCTTCTTTCACTGTGGAGCAAAGGAAGCAACTAACATTTTTTGCAGCTTCACTTAATGACCTGCAATCTAACATCCTACTTCTTGCTTTAAGTAACTTCACTCAAGCTTGCTATAATAAACCTGTCTCTTAATTCCTGAATCAAATCCTTCCTGTATTATTTAAGATACGATAGGTTCCAGGACAAAGTGAACTCAGCAAAAGCACTAATGACAACCTTCATAATTTTTCCCTTCTTTCTTTGTAAAAAAGAGCAAATAGAATGGTGAAAAAAGGGTTAAAGAGCAAAAACCAATTCAGTGTTAATGTATCTATCACAGAAAAGAGGAGAGAGAAAAATATACAGTGACCTTTTTCTGAAGCAAATAGATGTGGACTGTGATAAAGAAATGGAACATCTTCACCACTCATTTACAACAGGAGAGATGTGCCAATTTTTCACAGAGAAAAAAAGAAAGGGATATTGATACCTAGATACAGACCACATTTGCAACCCTTTCTTATTTTTTCATTACACATGGCAATTTTGAAAACATTTTTCTTGCTTCTTTTCTCAGAATAACCAGTCTCATCAGCATTTATATTTCTGAGTGTTTGTCCTTTTCAACAGAGAGCATTTTCTCTGAAAAATGAATGCTTGTATTAAAATATCCTCCAAACTTGTCATGCACAGAACTTAGGATGTTATTTTAACATTTGATGTATTTAAATAAAAATTTTCAAGAAAAGAGGTAACTAAATATTTTCCTCTCCTTGTGTATCTCCATGTTTAGGAACTAAACACATTAATGAAATTCAGTGATACCTTCTTTATAGTTGCAGAGTACTGAGGTAGCATGCTCTGGTCCAGACCATCTATCTGCTTTAGCTTCTCACACACAGCTTCCACACTCATTGTGCTCAGAGGTACTTGGGATCCTCCTGTGGCTGACCCTGTGCCTGCTCCCTGTAAGTGAGGAAAACATGCACATAAGACTTGTTCCAGTACTCAGTACACCCAGAAGTTCACAATACACACTAACACAAACCAAGCTGTGTTCAATTGTATTTTAAAATTAAGAGATGAGAATATCAATGCACAGGCATTTTTAATTACTATCAGAATATCTATATATTGAGAAACATTCATTATATATATTTATAGGAGAAAAAAACCAGCACCTTGAGTCCTGTCTTTGTGACAAAAAAACCCTCTTACATAATTTTAAGTAAAGAAACATAAAAATCAGAAATATTAAGTACAGGTTAATCAATTTACAATTCAGTTTCACTCACAAGTTTTCCCCTAACTTTAGTAGTTACTTTGCTTTTGGGATGTTTGGGTTTTTTTCTCAAATAATGCAGATAACAACTTAGATTTTTCTGTCTTAAAATCTCCTGGTTTATTATCAGACAAAGATGACCTAAAACTCAAGACACTCAAAACAAAGTTAACTCCTCAACTACTTGGATTAATTGGGTAATTTTAACAGTATCTGTTAATTTTGCAAAGGTTCTTTCAGCTCTATTTATGCAAGATCAGCCAAGGGGCAGCACTGAAACAGCAGCACTGCAAATGCCCTACAGGTTACTATGAGGATACTTCAGGTACCCCAACCTTGGGCAAGGTTCAGGTAGAAATTATTTATAATTCAGCTCTGTAACACAAGAGTGGTCATGTTAATGTTGCTAGCTTCTGGGAGTTTCAAAGAAAGGGTGGAAAACTAAAACAAATGCATTTGCAGGTAGACAGTATATTAAGGCAGTATTTTCTTTCAAAAAACCACATTCCCCCTGGATGGGAACCTATGCAGTTATAGGTTCCAAAAAGCAAAATCAGAATCAGTTCCACCAGTTAAAAAAATATTTGTATGATCTCCACTTGTGAGGGAGGTTGCACCCAGTAGTGATTCCAAGTTCCAAAAAGCAAAATCAGAATCAGTTCCACCAGTTAAAAAAATATTTGTATGATCTCCACTTGTGAGGGAGGTTGCACCTTTCCTTTTTTCTTAACATGAAGATTTGGATGCAGCATTGTAGACTGTGCACCAAACAGCTCATTTTGGAAGGATGCAAAAGAGCTTCAAAGCTTCAGAGGTCATCATCACATGCACAAGCCCTGGAATGTAAAATTTGACTATCCAGGTAATCAAATTTTATTTATATTCCTCAAATCACCAATGAAGACTGGTTTTGGAGTTGTAATATTGTCTCCCATTTTTATTTAATTACTTGGAAGATGTTTAATCTTTCAGAATTAATATAAATTACTAGATAAATTACTAAATTACTAGATCCCCATCTCCATGAAAACCAAGAAGTATCATAGAGAATGCCATTAACCTTATCTGAATTATCTAAACCAGGATATTTACGAAGAATTTATTCAACTAGTAATTCCAAGGCAGCAATCCAAAACCCCATTATCTACTAGCTCAGAGTTATTTCTGACTTACTGCTATCAAAGATATCCTGATCTGGGGAGCTAGGCACACTCCTCACCCAAGTTACTCTGAGTTTCAAAGTTTAGGTAATATTACATATAATTGCCCCAAAGTTCTCCACCAGATGTCCTTGAAATGGACTTTAAAGTGTGTAACTATCAGCTTCATTTGGGAACACTGCTGGGGGTTGTAGGGAATTTGAGCCTGGCAGTTCACACACTTGCCTGGAAATAGCTGGGGCACCAATCTTGCTTTCTTTAACCATTCCTAATTTTTTTTTAATGTCACGTCAATTTGATAATAAACAAACAAAGGATATATCCCGTTTTCTGGGAAGACAAACTACCTAAATTACTGCAGAAAAATTAAACATTTTAGTTCCACTTCAGTCTAGGCACTTAACCTAGGGTTTGGTATTCCTTTAGAGGACATGCCAGCTACATTTCAGATATATTTCAATGTCTCCCTAATCAGGTACCTACAACACCCAATTAGTTATCATATAGGCATCTAAAGGACAAATTTTAGGTCTGAATTTAGTCTGATTTTTAGCACATCTAAAATCTGTATCGTGTCAAGGATATAAGCCAATCACCAAAATTATGAAAATGACAGAATGAAGCTTCACTCATAATCTATTTATCATGTACCTCTTTTATGAACATCTTTAATTATCCTCTTAAGAGTCACTGTGGGTTTTTCTTCAGAATACCAGTTTGATCCATTACTTCCCCACAAACACACTATTTACTATTGACATGAGTTAGATAATATATCAACATAGACAAGATACTAAGTTAGTTCAAATCTTAATTATTTTTTGAAAGAAGGCTTATCAATTAAAATAAAAGAAACTGTTATAGCCAAAATTACTTTGTGGCACCACTAAAATAAACTGTCCCCAAGCAACATGTGTTAGCAATTGCCTTTGTTCTCAGAATCTATTAAATACATCATCTATGATACACCCAGAAATAAATGAAGAAAAGTTTTAAACACTTCTAATTTAACAGATTTTCGTTCAGATCAAAATATTTTTCTAACAATCAAGGACAAGCAATTCTTTCTGCATGCATTAAGACCTAGTTTAGAAATTCTGCTTTCAGTGTATAAAAAAGATACATAAAAGCTGAAATATTTAGACTATTTTTGTTAAAGTGTGAACTGTTTGAAATAGATGCACATTAATCCAAATCATTCTTTATGAAAAGCACTCTCTGAAGAATAAGTAATGTAATAGCTTTAGGGATATTGTCATCATGTAAGTGAATTAAAACTGTACTTAAACTGACACATTTTTCAGCCTTAGTGGTTTTGTTAGAGACGCTTAGAGAACATTAGTCTGAAAAGTATTTGCCATGCAAAAGCTAAAAGCAGCTTGTCAAAACAAACCTCAAGGCTAGTAATGAGCATTAGTTTACAGACAGCCCAGCATGAAGCACCAGTATGATAGCTTCTGGAATGACTCTGAAACAACTGAATGAGAATTCACACGAAGTGGCTGTACCTGTCTGTTTTTGTTTAACTCAGACTTACACAGCTTTGAGAAAAGGACAAAACACAATTAAAAGAAACAACAGCTTGAAGTGACATCACAAAGGTTGAACATACAGAGAACATGCTTTGAAGTAAACAGGAAATCAGGGTTAGGATAGACAGAATATTTTCATAATGTGATGAAACTTTTAAAATAGGTCTTCAAAATATACATTTAGGATATGCTATACAAATACTGTTTTCACGAGCAGACTCTTCTGTTTTGCATTTGTAAAAAAACCACTTGCTATATTCTGTTTTGCATAAAGGTTTTAGATTATGTTTCTGACAGAAAATCCTCCTTTTAGTGAAACATTCTCCTGCCATCTCAAGATCACATTATACTACCAATATACCTCAAATAACTTTTCAAACTTCTCTCTAACCAAATCTGCCAACACCCCTCGCCCCCACCCCTCCAAAAAAGCCCCAAAAACAAAACAGCACCACCCACAGAATAGAAAAGTTATTTCTTGTAAGCACAAATATTCAAAGCACAAAAATGCTACACAAAAGCACTGGAAAATCTGTAAGAAAACTCCCATGCCATATATTTTCATTCATGCTCAAACTTTTGTAAAGTACTTCCAGTTTCTTAAGAAGTACTCTATGTTTATCTATACTACATGCTCTGGGCCACATTAGTCCTCATTCAAAGCACACCTAATGCTACATCTTAATGAATTGTATGTTCAGTGCAATATGAAAAAATGTATTTAAACTAAGTAAATATACTGGAACAAGCCGTTTCCTAAGAAGTCAAAATTAACAATGCAAACTAAAGCACAAAATCAAGTTTATGACAGATAAGCACTCCTAATGCTAGTTTGATTTCTAACATAAAAGGGGATTCTGTGAACCACTCCATGTTACCATTCCATGACCGGTAACACTGCAATCTACCTACAAACTCTTCAAAAGGGCATGCTAGAAGTTTTTGCAGTTATTCAGAAATAAGCATTTGTACAGTAAAACCAGCAGAAATGCATGTTTGTCTCCAGAAAGAAAGAAAGAAGAAAGGCCAGCATCTTAAGACTATTTTCATTAGTGATTCAAGCTGATAACCAAAAATTTGCAACGCACCTTCATGCTGATACAACTAAATAGATGGTATTTGGTCAACTTACCAGTTTGACATCTATGTTTTGATCCATTCAGCAAAGATAGTACACTATGGTCTGAGACAGACAAGTTTTATCATCAGGAACAGAAGCTAAGTATAGAAGGTGGCTAAAGTAAAATGCTTGATACAGGATGACTATACTCAAAATATTCCTGATTTTTATTAAGCTAACCTAGACTTACACAGATACTATGAGACTAATGACAGTGGTCTGGAATTTCAGAACTTGGTCACTCCAAGATCAGACTGACAACAACAGCAGACCCATAACTAGATCACATAACAGCCTCCACACAGCTCTGTCAAGTCATGCAACAAGCAGAAATTATGATCTGTATGAAAAAAAATTATACTCCTGAGTAATCCTGTTTTTTTACCCTGTTATGACTCAAACATTCAAAACAATGATTATTCTCTATTTTACACAGGAGTTGCAACATTTCTGGCTCCTTGCCAGTTTAGTATGAAAGACAATTTTGATTCTACATGCTCCTCTTGTTTTCAATCACCAAACCAATTACACATCTTGGTGTTCATTAACTACTTTGTGCAGTTCTTTTTTAGTTTATTTAATTACTTTGCGTGCACCAAACCATTTAATAAGTTGGATCACTTATATAGCAGCAACGACCCATCAATTAAGAGCTACCTAAATAGCTGGATGAAATTACTGTACCCATCATCTACAGATAATTGTAGCACATAAAACAAATATAATATTGTTTTCTTTCATGGAAAATTCAATAAAGTTGATAAAAGATTTGGATATAGATGAAACCCTGACATTGCATATCATATCATATCCTGATTAACAACCTTCTTGTCAACTTCCCAAGAGACTTTAAAAAAAATTCAAAGTTTTAGATTTACACCATAGGTTAAATAGTGCTAAGTCTTACAAAAATGTATGATCTGATATGCTGCATTACAGACTCACAACAGTATAAATTAAATGAAAAAATAGATCTAACAAAATCTTCCATTATCATTATCTCAAAGGAAGTTTTGTTTTAATGGTTTAATTCCTGTATTTTCTTACTTAGAGGCTCCTTAACTTACAGGAGTCTTTTAAACTGCTGTTTGAAGCTGCATGTAAATGTGCATTATGATAAATACTCAGCAGCAAGCAGAAGAGGCACCCAGTTCTAATTCTCCTGCTGAAACTCATTCACTACTTTGCCCCAAGACTAAATCCCACTTTTCCAGGCTTGTGTGCCTTGCCACACTCACAGAGACACACAGTCCTCAGCCATCATGCTAATAGTTTTGAGAAAATCCTTTCTTTTCCTTGCACTGGCAAGTCTCAAAGGCCTGGGAAAGGAATGTGATAATGAGATACGGAATCAAACACAAGGATGGCATTTCCAAAGGAAAAATTACTCCAAAGTCATTCCTTTACACAAGTTCAAAAATGACTTGGGAGAGAAACTTAGTATACCTTTTCCACTGCACTGCACATATGTGGTTTCTCAGTCAAAGTTATATACATTTAGACAGAGTTTGGAATCTGTGTGGGATTTGATTGTCTTTTCATTGCACAACAGTAGAAAGACATTTTTGTAATTATTTACTAAAAGAAAAAGTAAATGCAATCCAACTATAATTTTTTGCCAACAACTATTGGCAGCAAATATTAAGAGAATAATGACAGTCCCATTAAACTCTTTGTCTTGGTATAAAACACAATTACCATAACTGGAGTTAAAACATATACCATAAAGTTGGCATCCTAAGTATGAATACTTAGGATAAAACAAGTCATAGAAAAGGTAATTGTTAACATTCTGACTCAAGAATAAGCTTATGACCAGCAATGTTTTATTTTTCCATTTCTATCAAAGCTGCCTTATACTGTGTTACCTGCAATAGCTTTGCAGGTAGAAGTAGGTTTGGGAGAGAGTTGACTGAAGCAGAAAAACACAATTACTTCTAAAACTTAAGCACTGAATGACCAGCTGTCATTCTACACTCTGCTCAGCTACCACAACACTTGACTGAAAGCTCACCACAGCTACTGAGAAAGGCAAGGGGAAAACTACAGGGGAAAACAGAGTACATCTTACAAGTGAAATATTAGCTTTTAAATTCATTCACGAACTACATTAGTTTTCAACTACTCTATTTGCCCACCAAAGCCACTGATGCAGTGTTAGTGAACTGCAGTTATGATTAATGCAGACTCATTACTGCTGAAAAAGCAATGAGATGCTAAAATTTCCACACCACATGACTACTCGTTTACCATTGAGGGGTCTGTGGGTGAAGGAAGCCCCTCATCAGCATCCTCCTTGATAACATCCTAACAACAACAAAATATTATGGTTTGGGTAAAATGATCAAGGGCTCAACAAAAATCATGAAGTAAACAGTGAATGAGAATGATCTCATCATAATACATAATTCAATAGAAACACATTTGTTTTCTTTAAGTGATTAAAGCTTTTACCACCTTTTAACAGCCTTGCTCATTGTATCAATACCCTAGAATTAAAGTGACCAACAAGTGAGGCTTTTACATTTTTATCTTTCCTTAGTTTATAATTCCATTTGAACAGCCATCTGTCAGTAAAATAAATACTGTTAAGTAGGAAATTTATTATTCTATAGTAAGCTAGAAAATGTCCTTCTAATGGGTAAAACTGAATTATATGTACTTGCAAAAACACTTAAGATAAAATGTATTTTGTTTTACTCAAATATTGAAAATATTTCTTTTAACATTTAAATTTGATCTTCCAGTTTCTAGCATTCTTTACAACATTAAAGGATGTAATTTTATCTTCTACAGAGACAAAGAATTTGTGCCATATAATTAGAAAAAGTTGAACATAAATTTACAAGTAGCACTCATTTTATTATACCACTACATCTATTTTGGTACTGTAGTACAGTTGGCATTTTCATTAATATATTTTTTGCCAGTATCACAGGTCATTCTCCTCTAATCTTTATACATGGGTGCTAGAATTGGTTTTCCTCTGAAAGGAATTTCTAAAGTTAAAACAAAATACATTTACATTACACATTAGTAACACCTTTGCTTAAAATATTTATAATATAAAGCTTATACTTGTCTAACAGAACCATCATTAATAACCTTCAATTTCATTACTCACTATATTTATTGTCTAGGTTAGTATTTGAATTACCCTTCAAAATACTTACTAGGCCATTGTTCTGATCTCTGGACAAACTCGTTTTTAGTGGTGGACGTGAGATGAGATGAGAACTGCCAGGGTAATACCTTGGCATGTAAAGATATGGGGCAAAGAATGGCTATGAAAAAAAAAAAGGTGTAACAAAAAAGGGACAAACAATTACACAAATCAAAATGTAATAATAAAATAAAAATCATTACAACAAAACACATCCTCTAGTTGAGTTTCATAAAGTAAAAAAGAGCAATTATTAATAGCGTCTTTACTTTTGCATTGAACCATTGAGCAGAATTCAATCAAAAGCTCTGGAGTGAATTCTTCAAAACCACTCCAAATGACCCCTTTTTTTCCCTCCAAGCCAATGAGTGCTCTGGTATAGTTTTCTGGAGGATCAGAGTCAGAATGGTTTTGGTAGCTACACTCTAATATCTGCTTTCAATATGGGAAAAGGTAATTTAACAATAATTCTGACAATGTCACTCTCTGACCTTCTAAACTTAAAAGCAGGTGCTCAGTAAAACTTTGAGTCATTTGTAATAGCCAAGACAATTGTACTAAATAAACAAGAAGTGTGATACATAAGAGCATCACTAGAATTTCCCATATCTGTGGCACCCAACCTGGGGGCTTCCACAAACACTAGGTTTTATAAACATATGAACAGATACTTATAGCAGACAGTACTGGAGCTTTGTTTTGCTGGAAATACATTTTGCATGTTGTTCAATACAAATAACATTTAAGGGACAGTGTTAACTTAGACTTTAGGAAAAGCAGAATTACAGCACTCGTTGCTTTCAACTCATTGCCCCATTCTTAATGAAACTCCTCCCCCCAGAAAAACTCCAAACCTAAAAACCAACAAAACACCATAAAAACCAAAAAGAAATCTCAAAACAATGGCTGTATTACTGATTTCTGATGTTTCTATGTGTAGCATTTTTAAAACTGTATTATCCAGATACTTCACAAGAGAATATATTATCTGAATTGTGTTTCTGCACATGACAAGATTCTGATTAGTGTACAGCACCAAATTCAATATAGAGTAAATAATTCTATGACTAAATGGAGAATCTATGAGGAAGGAGTAAAATTTGTTGAAACATTCCACTTTAGATTTGCCAATAAGGACTTAAAAACTTCTGTATTCAGAAGCAGCTCTAAATAACCTGAGAAATTCAAGTTTAATTTTTGAGTATATAATATATGTAGATAGCATATGCTACAACTTCAAGCACTTTATGGAAAATAAAAATGGTTCCATATTCTTAGGTGCTAGAGGTAGATTCTGAGCACTTTCACACAATTACCACAAAAATTTCATATGCTTTTCCAACACACGAAGTTACACAATATTCATTGTAACCAGTAATCTAAATGGGGAAGTTTGGTTACCCAGCCTTTGCCTTACATTTTTTGACTAATATAGAATGATGCAGGAAAGTTCACTGAATTAAAACTATTCCACTGTCATAACATTCTACAAATAATACAAATTTTTTTTTTGAAGAGAGAATAATTTCCAGAAAATACCACAGAATCATTTAATGCCTCAGTTTTTCACTAACAGCCTAAACCATGTGGAAAGCCCCCAAGCACAAAATGCTTAACTATCAAACTGCATTCAAGTGCCCAACTCTCACTGCAGAGCCTCTTCTGTGAAACACACAGGGAGCTTGCTGGTTGCATGATATCAGACTACAAAACAATGGAAAAAGTCTGTCCATTAAGGCAATTATCCCACAATCCTCTCATAACTTCTAATCAACCCCTGGGCCCATTTCAGCTACTCCACTGTTTCCCAATTGTGGAATCAATTCTCCATTACAGGCCAAGCACTTCAGACTCAATCTTCATTTGAACTACAATACAGGTATCATGAAAACATGAGATCAATATAAATATACATTGGGCATAAACCAGTGCACAGTTGCTCTTCAAGTCTGCAGATCGCCTACAAAGCTTAATGGATGTAGCAAAACATCATTTGTTCAAGATATCATATCATTTTCTCCTCTTGTAAAAAAAGAAAAAAAAAGTATTCACATACCAGAATTTCTCGCTCCCACCCAGGATATCCCAATTAGACTTGTCTACTGTTCTGACCTTCCCTGTAAGAAACATCATCTCCACAATGATCCACGAGAGCAGCAATTTTGAGAAGCTGTACTTGAATTCAGCTTTCAGCCTGGCCATTAGACAGTGGTAAACAACACATGTCCAGCTTAGCCCTATACTGAGAACCAGAGTGCTAAACTGAAGAGCTTCTGAATGGGACCATAGTCCTCTCTTTACAGCTAACCAGGGGGAGAACTGGGTTTTAAACCAAAAATTAATAGATTACATCACTGGAAGTTTCAGGTCCATAACACAGAGGAATCTAAAGAAAAAAAAGAAGAAACATACATAATAAAAAAAACCTTATTTTCCAAAAATGAAGCCTCTTCCTCAACAGCTCAAGGGGGTTTTTCTTAAGCATAAATTAATGCTTAAAGACAACAGGACAGGAACCATTTACTGGTCAGAATATGGCACACATCCCCAAGAAATGAAGGTGTTTTTGAATAAAATCCAACAATTTTCACAGAAGTATTTGAATCTATTGTGTTGTGTTATACCAGTATCCAAGACCTCTCTCGGAAACTTCTACTGGGGTCTATTCTTCAGTTGATGTTTGTTTTTTTAAATACCATTTTTACAAAAACCTAAGAAATGAAATATGATTGAAAATAATGAAGAAAACAGTTTTTTAGGATGAATTTTCTACTTTTAAAAGCTTCTTATCACTTATCTCAGTATGTGGTGCTCATGACAGTACCTTTATGAGTCCAGAGTAATGAATACAGTTCTCTGTCAATATTTATTAAGTGACACACTAAAAACAATTATACTTTAGAAGGGTAGTATAAAATTCCAGTCAGAAAGGCCAAAATTGAAGCATTTTAGTCTTCAGCAGGCAAAAAAGTAAGCACGTCTGTAAGCCTTAACACAAATGAACAAATAAACACTTTGTAAGAACAGCTTATGACTCACCAATAATTATTTCTCTAATGCTTACTGGAGCCAAAAATCCCAATACAGGTTTCAACAGTTTATCACCCCTGCCTTTAAACCTTGTCATGTACAGTAACACAAAACAGGGCAAAACAGACAAAAAATCAGGGTTTCCAACAAAACAGTTATTTGGACTAAGCTGAGTTAGTATCAACACAAATATTCATGTGTCAAGCATTTATCAGTGTTCAAAATATATGCTATTTTATGTTATTTTCAACAAAACAGCATACTGTCACTGTCTTGAAGGTATATAAGAATAATTTTGGAATAGATAACTTAAAAAGTTCTGGTCTACATATACATTTTTTTGCTTTGGTTAACAAACACTGATTTATGAATAACTCAATTTACTTTTCACCTTAATAGGTTATATGTTTATCTACAGTCAAATCTACTTAATATTGAGGCTATTTCCTGTATATAGAAGCACGCTATGACTATTATCAGCTGTTTGTGGTTTTTTTCATGATAGTACTGCAGAAAAAAAAGTGAAAAATAAAGTTTAAAAATACTGAACACATCCCACAAAACCAGAAAGTTTAGACTCTCTTCAACTATACAGTAAAGCACTTAATTCAATTTTTCACGTGAGCCATTCCCAGGACTACATTTTCTGCGGCCCACAAATAGCTCAAAAATGTATGTTTTATGCAATTCAGGTTAATTCCTTTAAATGAGTACAACACCAGCTTAGGGAAAAGATCATGGAATGACTTCAAAAAGAGACAAAAGGGAAGACAGACATACATTCTTATAATCTGTCTCCCCACTTGAGTTTCTGTATGTTTTAACGAAAGTAACCAAAAAACAGACAGGACCCCTTCTGGTGTCTGTGAGCATGCAAAAAACTGAGCACAGTTTACCACCCCCAAAAAACAAAAAAAACCCCAACAAAACAAAAACAGACAAAAAACCACCAACCCAAAAAGCCCTGCAATATCCTACAAATGAGCAGCGTCTCATAATAATTTTTTCTCCTTTGTAATTTGTTTTTCTGATGCCATTTACCATGTTTATTCCCCAAACAACAGTGACTGAACATTACTGCAAAATTTGTCAGCTTTTGGACTTTTCTCCACTCCTAAATAAAACTTGCATAGGTATTTTAATATTTAATAGATGACATCTGCAGTACTACCAGACTAAATCAGAAGAATGTTAACTGGATCTCGATTATTTACCCGATTGTAAAAGGGATGCTGAGGTCCTGTCATACCACTATAGTAACTGCTGTGAGGCTGGGGGGACAGAACTGCGCTGTTGAAAGGCCCATTGAAAGAGGTGGTAGAAGAGCAAGCTGAGGAAGGCTGGCTGAACAGAGATGTTGCTCTAGCAGGGGCCTCATGTAAAGGCAAGGTGGGATAAGGAAGTCCTCCAATATTCATCTGATCTCTTGCAGCACGAACATCTGAAATATAAATTGGTAACAAGAATATGATTTTGCTTGAAGTACTTGAAAAAGTTTTTATTTGTTTGCCAATTCATTACAGTACATTTTTGTATATTTAACTCCAATCAGAATCCATCAAGTAGAACATCAAGAAGGTCAAATTTCAGCTGGATTTGGTTGATTTCTCTTGATGATCACATCTACACAGGAGTCTTTAGGAAAGTTAGGATGGTTTATCACATAAACTTATATAGATTATTAAATCCCTCTAAACATTTAGATTTTTTTTAAAAATGTGGCATAAAGGAACCTAACAGTCACTCTGCAAGAGAAGCTGCTCCAAGGCTGGTCTGTACCATGGCAGAGTGACAAATCCCAGCATACACAGGCCTCTTCTGATTCACCAGGGACTGTCAATGCTCTCACAGCAGGCACTACAGAGACCTGGGAGCTGCCAAAGAAAAACAGGTCCCCAACCAGCCTCAGCCCAGGGAGTGTGACAAGGTAGTCTGAATGGCCAGGGCGCAGGGAGGGTGCAGTCACCCCAGCCAAGAGGTGAGCCCCTTGGTATTCATCATCCTCTTGGAAGGAGCTCAGATATGGCATCCACGTAAGGTACAAACCCATAGTCCTCTGCACTCACCAGAAAGGATGTGACAACACAGACACACCTCCCATCCCAGGCTCAGGCTTGGGGAGGGCAGAGCCTGTCACCAGTGCTGGATGGTAGTAGAGACAACAGCTACGTGAGGCACGATCAGGCAGACAACCCTGGTCCATCCTGGTGCAAGTGTTAAGCAAGGAAGCAGAAAGATTAAGAAGCATGAGAGAGTCAGAGGATAGAGACTGCTGGAATCATGCTCTGGCCTCCTTGAGACAGAACAGCCACCAGAAAAAAGCAGAGATCCAGGGGACTCTGTATTCTCCCCATAACAGGTAAAAGGCACCTGTGCCAGGGGATATTCATGCTGGACATCAGAAACAATTTGTCCATTGAAAGTCTTACAGAGATAAGGCAGGAACTCCTGAGGTAACAGTAGCCAACAGGGAAACACCACCAAAATACTTCAAAGGAATTAAAGGGTGCTCCTCTAAGAAGGTGACACAGCTGACAGCCCAGCTGAGGTGCCTCTACCTCAGTGCACACAGACTGGGCAACTAACAGGAGCAGCTGGAAGCCACCGTGCTGCCACAGAGCTGTGACCTGCAGCTGCCATTCCAGAAACTTGGTGGATGAATCCCATGACTGGAGTGCAACTACTGATGGCTGCAGGCTGTTCAAATGGGACAGGAGAGGAAGGAGGGGAGGAGAGGTTGGCCTCTACATCAAGAGATGGAGAGACTACAAATTCTTAAAAACAGTAGCAAGGAGGACCCCAGGAACTAGCGACCTGTCAGCCTCACCTCTGTGCCTCTGAAGATCATGGACCAGATCCTCAGAGAAGTTTTGCTAAGGCACATGGAGGACAGAGGTGATTCAAGACAGCTAGCAACAGCTCCACCACAGGGAAGTCCTGCCTGACCAACCCTGTGGCCTTCTGCAATGCAGTGAATGCATCAGTGAACAAGGGAAGGGCTAGAGATATCATTTATCTGGACTCCTACAAAGCTTTTAATGTAGTTCCCCCCACTACCCTTCTCTCTACAGTGGAGATACATTTGATGGGTACACTGTTACACAGATAAGAAACTGGGTGTGGACAACTGCATCCAGAGGGTAATGGTCAATGGCTCAAAGTCCTGACAGACATCAGTGATAACTGGTGTCCATTGGGTCCACACTGGGACCAGTGTTATTTAGTATCTGCATTAATGACATGAATGAAGGGATGAGTGCATCCTCAGCCAGTCTGCAGATGACACCATGTGAGTGGTGCAGTTGACACACCTGAGGGATGGGATGCCATCCAGAGGGACCTGGACAAGCTCAAGAAGGGGACCTATGGGAATTTTATGAGGTTTAGTAAGATCAGCTGGGTTGGGTCAACTCTCAGTAACAATTCAGGCTGGGGGATGAACAGATGCAGAGGAGCCCTGCTGAGAAGGACTTGGGGGTGCTGGTGGATGAGAGGCTGGACTTGATCCAGCCATGTACCCTTGTAACTCAGAAAGCCAAACGTGTCCTAGGCTGCATCCAAAGCAGTGTGGGCAGCAGGTGAGGGAGGAATTCTGCCCCTCTGCCCTGCACCTGCAGTGCTGCATCCAGCTCTGGGATCCCCAGAACAAGAAGGACATCAATGCATTTGAGCAAGTCCAGAGGCCACAAAAATTACTGATGAGATATGGAATACTTCTACTATGAGGAAAAGCTGAGAGAATTGGGATTTTTCAGAAAGAAGGCTTTGGGGTAACCTAATTGCAGCCTTCTGGCATCTGGAGAGAGCCTCCAAGACAGGTGGAGAAAGACTATTTAGAGGCATATGTAGTGACAGGACAAAGGGGAATGGCTTTAAACTGACAGTAGGTTTAGAATTCTTTATCATGAAGGTGGTGAGTTACTGGAGAAGGCTGACCAGAGAACTTATGGATGCACCAACACTGGAAGTGTTCAAGACCAGGTTGGAACTAGATAAGTTCCTACCTAAGCCATTATAAGACCTTAAGGAACAACTCCCCTAGGAGAAAAGGCTGACAGAGTTGGAGTTCTTCAGCCTGGAGAAGACTTTGTTTCACTGACTTAATTTCTACACGGTTTTACATGTACTTTCAAAATTGTTAACAAAGATCTGAAGTCAACTTGCATATTTTCTACTAAAATATTGTTGTGTGTATTGGTTTCCTCCATCTCCTAAAGCACTCTGCAAAGCAAGAATTTTGCCCTCCAAAAGTGAAGCTTTAGTCCAGGATGGTCTGGTTTTTACAGCAAAACTATTAAGCGAAACTGAATGGTCTCTTACTGAAGTCAAATCTGACAATCTGAAGATATGATTTGATGAACAAATGAGTGTCCTGTGTGACATGCCAAGTAGCTCTACTTAAAATAAATAACAGATTTGTCATTTTCCATTTATTTGAAATCATACTCACCTGCAATGATTTCTCGTAGCTTGGGATCCAAGTTCACTGTACAAGGCAAAAAGGTTCTTACATCACGTGCAACAAGGACAGGCGTTCGTGACGATAAAAATACTTCAAAGTTCCGTATATCTGCATCAATTTCAAGTAGAGGTTCAACATCTTTAGTTGTGGGAATATTCTTTGAAATTCTGGGGGGTGAAATCATAAACATCATAAACCATATTTATTAGAGTATGACTTCAGTTTACAAAGTAATGTTCTAGGGTGAAATACTAGTACACTTGCACCCATTCTCCCTGCTCTCTGAAAAATAAGAGAACCCATAAAGAGCTGTGCTGTCTGCAGAAAGAGCAATGTAACATTTTCTAATATGCAAAAAACCTCAGACAGCTGAACAATCTGGTCTAATGGTATGCTTCAGAGAAATGTTGAGGAAGCCATATATCAGCAATGTCAAATCCCAAGTAAGGGGAAGTTAACATTTGTGAACTTTAACCCCAAACATCTATTCAAATTCCTATACCCAATTCAGAAATTCCATGGGAAAAACAATTTTATTTTGAAACTAACTTTTTGTAACATGAACAAGCATCTTAAAAGTTGATCAATATCTAACTGTGCATTCATTGTAAAAAGTGGGAAAACAACCACTTGCTTTCAAGCAATTCACCTTCTAAGAAAAAGCCACAAACAAAAGAAAACAATAAAACCATGAGACATGATCAATGTAAGGGACTGTTCATGCATTATGACTATTGTCAAGCAACAGTGGGGGTTTTGTGAGCAGTGGTATAAAGGGAGTTTCAGGAAGGAACGAGTAGGATTAAATGTTAGTCTTGTGGAAGTTTATGAAAAGGTCCTACCAAGCAAGTGATGGAGGCTGACACTGTTGGACCTATCTTACTTGATATTTCATCTCATAGTACTGGTATCATATATCAAATGAGAAATGATAATCTAAATTAAAGATTACTAAAATGAAAAAGTACTCACACCCAGCAAAATAAATATGTAAACAGTGAAAGAATGCACTGAGAATAGTGAGCACAGTTACAGTAATGGCTATAAAGTGACTGTGACACCACTCTATATAGATACCAGTGAAGTAACCACACTGTACATAAAGTAAAAATAAAAAAATACGAGGAGAAAAAACAAAAATAGCTTCATATAAATATAAAAAAATAATTGTGATTTTTAATGGGTCTTTTCAAAGACATGTTAAGACTATAACTCCATGATAAAGGGGAACAGCATAGATGTGTTGGCTGCTCTGTGAACTGCTGTAACTTGCTTAAAAGAAGAAGGTAGCATAGAACAAAGAAAGTGTGTTTTCTCCCACTACTGGACAATTAGAAGAGCTAAGGCAACTACCAGTGCTGTCATGGGGGAAATGAGTACACTGATGCATGGATGGGAAGGGAGGCAGGAGACTCATGAACACTAAGTAAATCATCAGTACACCAGGAATCTCTTACATTAAATAAATTCACAATTACATTGTGTCTTTAAAAAGAAAAAAAAAACACTTAAAAGAAACCCCCAACTGGTTGTAATTGAATTGTATTTTTAATAGAGCTAATAACTAAGTCTACCATTAGCTGAACAATCTTACCCTATTTCACAATTTGTCTGCTTTTTAAAAGCAACAATTTTTTTAATCTTTGTTTTTAAATCTTCCACAGAAAGTACAGTTTTATGCACCACGGGATTATTCAAGAGACAAAAGTGGCAGATTCACACAGAATACTTAGTGTTTAATGTTAAGAAAAATAAAATAACTGAGAATCAATGCTACATGCTTGAAGTGAAACTCCATTGCATTAAAAATGTATTTCAGCTGTGTTAATCTTTCAATCTGATCTTTTATGACATTCTCGCCATACACTAAGAGTAAAATTAACAAATTCCTATAAATTTTACCAGAAAACAATGGACCATGGACCTTACAGATGGAGGATACTCCCATACCATGCTGTCATAAACAGTGTCTGTGAATAACTTCATTCACAGTGAGAGGTTACTTTATAGCACAGGAAAAATGGAACAAATATAAAGCATAAAAGCAAGTGTAGCCTATTCTAACAAAGGTTCTGCAGAACAAATAGCTACAAGACATTGTCCAGATGGCAGCTGGATTATCCACTTTAAGGAAGCTCAATGTATGTAAGACTTCAGAGACTACAGCCTTAAGAGAATAAAACGTGGTGCTTCTGTGAGAAGACACTCAAAGGTTACAATTTCAAATAATGGGAACAGTTCATTCTCTGGCAGAGTTTAAAGAAATTTAGTAGAAGCTGAAAGTAGTCCTAACCTCAAGGAGTGAAAGACCAAAAGAAAAAAAAATAAGAACACTGGAAATATCAAAGTAAAACTTGTATACTCTACTGAATTTGAGAAATGCATATTTTACACTAATACTTAGCTACTACCTTATATTATTCTACTTAGCCTTATATAAAACTACAACTAAACTGACTGTAAATGTGTATGTTTTAAATCAAACATCAGATTGTGAAAAAAATCCAAGATCCTTAATGCACACTTTAGTTCTATATATTTGTTATATATATAGAGGAGTTTAACACTGGAAAAGTAAAATTAAAGTCACTTTTCAAGTCAGGAACTGAAGAGTTAAAGAGTGGCCTACTTCAACACTTCAATCTTCAAAATAAAAAGCCAAAAGAGAATGTGACATAGATTTAAATAAAACACACAGCTGATGAATCACATGAAACAAATTAGCTGATTTTTAATGCCAGCTCTACTTAAGTCTGAATGCGAACAGTGTTCCGAATACGATGAACAAAGCTACTGTTCAGAAGCCAATAGCCCACTGCTGGTGTGCAGATTGAAGTCTCTATTCTAACCTCCTGAGCTCAATGTCTTAAACTACGCCTTTGAAAGAAATATTTATGTAAATGATAATCTTTTGGCAAAGAGCCACAAAAACCATACGTGCCTGCGCTTCTCAGATAAAAAAATAAAAGGTTAGCATTTAAAGCACTTTAGAAGTTACTTTTTCTAAAATACAAGCATGCAGATCTAAAAATAAAGCACTGTGAACACACTTTTTTCATTTTGGGGCTAGATTCCTGAGGCAAAAGAATTATTTTTTAAATCAGAAACACCAGAAAGTGTCAGTGTTACGGACCGTCTGTTTCCAGGAGAAACTACTTGAATTTAGAAGGAATGAAGCTAAAACAAAACATTTCATTGATTGAAGCAAACCTTAAAAATTAATTCCATTACTCTTCACATCACTTTTCCATGAGCAGCTGAAATTAAAAACTTCTTTCATTCCGGAGTAAGTTACATTGCAACAATGATGAATTATTCCTGTTTTTTTCCTCAAATATAGACAATTTAGCACAAGTACACAGAGGCACATCATCTTGTCTTTCATTCTGTAAATTAGATTCAAATTTGTTCAAATTACATTCACCTTGTACTTCCATGACTGACTTAGAAAATAACCAACCATGGTCTGACAGCGTGTCCAGCACTGAATGTTGCCAGCACAGCTCAGTAGGTGCTAAGTTGTTGCACCTACTGACCATCTCCTTCACTACTCTGCCAGGTGGTGGCAAAATGGCAACAGCCAAAATCAACCACCTTCATCCGCACTGGAGGCTGCACTGGAGGTGCCCACGTTGCCTATGCCACTGGCTATGTAGGCTCTGGAATATGCCAACAGGATTTACCACCTGCTCCCCCAGCCAGGGCTTTTGGGGCAGTTGCTCAAGGCTGGCTCTGACCCAGGGTAGCTGCACAACCAGGCTGTGCTGACACGAGCTGTGAGGAGCCTCACTGCAGGGCTCTCCTGCCTGAGCTAAGAACAGCTTTTAAGCTCAGACCTTTGCCCTTGGTCCTCCTCCGAGCTACATCTATGCACCTTTGGTCTTGACCTTGACCACTGGCTTAACTTCCTGCCTTGAGCTGTGCCTTGTGGCTACACACCACGGGGCTGCTGGCTGTCCCTGGTTATTGTCACTGAACCTGCTCCGCTTTTCCCCTTTGGCTACTGAGGAATTGCTCCCAGGGCCATGCCTGCCTTGCAGCTCTCCTCAGCTCCCAGCTCACCCTCTCTCATGGAGCAGAACCCTGCTCTTCCCACACTGATGGAAGGTTGACTTCTTTACAAGACCTCATACCCTGAAGGGCTGTTCTCTCTGCTTGTTCCAAACCTCTCTCCCTGAAGGTGAAAACAAAGAAATGCTTCAAATTGATCTTTGCACACCTAATTTTTTTTCCTCATGTGTTTTACAGGAGCAAGCAACTGTATGGACAAGAGTAATTTAACTTTCTCACTCCATAAAAAGCAAATGACTTAATTAATTGCTATTAAATAATAGAGCAACAGAAGGCATGAGCATGAAGGCATGTCATGTTTTATCTATCATGGGCTTTTTAATTTTTTCCTCTCAAGATAGTACAAGTTAAAAATATTGCTTAAAATAATGAAATAATTTATCATTAAAAATGAGAAAAAAATTTCTACAGGTTTAATACTGAGAAACACAAAAGCAGAAAATCTTGGCTGCTATGGAATACAATATGAAATTGTGATGCTTAACAGTTTGCTAATTAGACGTCTGATCTCTAATACCTAATAATCAAATGCTATGCTTCGCACTGGAGTTACTTATCCCACTCTTCTCATGTCTGGCCAATATAGTGACAGTGTTAAAGGCTCTCACACAAACCGCTCCAGGAACTTTGCAGTACTTTCAACATATCAGCAACTGTGCTACAAATATTCTCTCAAACTGAAAATTGCAACAGGTCACTTGGACACTGAAAAAGAACATTTGCTTATATGCCCATTCATATAAAGACAGGAATAAAAAGTCATCGCACACTCAATAAGATAATCATAAGGGAACAAATGCTTTATCTTTATAAAGACCAAAAAAAGAGAAAGCTATAGTTTGATATATCTATGTAGACAAAAGCTCCAGGAACTTTGCAGTACTTTGCAGTACATATCAGCAACTGTGCTACAAATATTCTCTCACACTGAAAATTGCAACAGGTCACTTAGACACTGAAAAAGAACATTTGCTTATATGCCCATTCATATAAAGACAGGAATAAAAAGTCATCGCACACTCAATAAGATAATCATAAGGGAACAAATGCTTTATCTTTATAAAGACCAAAAAAAGAGAAAGCTATAGTTTGATAT